TGTGCCAAGAAAATGAACCCGTGTGACAATGAGACGCACTGTGCACAATGAGAAAACGCAATACATCAGTCCTGATCTCTGTCTCAAGCACACCCTCAGTTGCAAAGATTCACCTGGAAAGAGCTGCAGGTCCCACGACCTCATACTCCATCCTGCTGAAGATGTCCTGGATGGTGGCGCGCTCGAAGTCTGTCCATTCAACCATTTTGCCTCTAGTTTTTTCTGTGCGGGTCTGCAGATCCGTGTGCTCTCTTGCAACAGACGCCGCTTTTAAAGCAACCCTGCTCCCCTCCCACACGCCAGCGATTGGGTGGGCGGTAGACATGCAGTGTACTTTGTTATGGATCTGTAACAATGATAAGGGTGCGTCTGCACCGCCCAAAATGTTCTGGCACCGAAACAGTGACGGTTTCGGTGCCAAAACAACTTCCTCTGTGTGTCTACTATCAACGTGCAATTCATGTTTTCTCTTTTCTAAATGGTGCAGTTTGAAATGAGAATGGGAATCATATGCATGTAGGAAATTTTACAGGGTTTGTTTTAATTCAGCAGTGCACAATAGTTGTGCCCCAGAATCAATCAATAGACCAAAATTCAAAGGAGACAGCCCTCAACTTCCAACCCAACTTTATGCCAAATCACCAGCAGAGGGCGCCTTAACGGTAGCTAGACCTTAAGTCACCTACATACAAACTACTAACTTTCTCTGTGTCACAACATATTTTTTCTGTATGAGCTCAAAAACAGCATCAGACATCAGGTTTTCTTTTATTACTGTTTGTGATGTACTGTTCAACCGATAATGCCAAATCCCGTCTTTTAGGCTGCTGTTCTAGTTTCTCACGACTTTTAGGCGTCTAAATTGTGTATAGGTGAACTCAAGGACACTTTGCGTCGTTCGTAAACTTGTTTGATGATGGGTGTGATGAGAATAGGTGGGCTTTATCTATCTATCTATCTATCTATCTATCTATCTATCTATCTATCTATCTATCTGTCTGTCTGTCTCGTTTCTGCCACTATCCATTTCCAGTTTGAATTGTGCCATTAATTGCACATAAGGTTTCAAGTTTCAGGCTTTCGGGCATTCTGCTTTGAATTTATGCTCTTGTAAATCTATTTTCCTGCTTCAGTGTTATCTCTGCTTATTCAACACACATGCAGGCATGATTTAATCGTTCGTCCTCCTTTGTGTCTTTTGTTTGGGGAGATTTACCCTTTTAAATGTGCATGTGGCACATCAATGACACATTGATTCATTTGAATTCAATTAAAAAAAACCCCAACCTGATTTCAATAGCTCATATGTGCCTCAACAAGATTTCTTTTCCATTTCAACACGTATAGCACCTTCAAAACTTAGTATAAACAATCTAATCATAATAAGTCATAATATTTCCATGGTGCCCTATAGTCTGCTGTGCTTTATGTTATTGATCTACTGACACGGTAGTATCCCCTTTAGTCCGTCTAAGACACATCGCCCTATCCCTAACCCACATGACATGGACGCCATTATGAGTTCAATCTATGCATGGTTGGACAACTTAATGAAGTTTGGGAAGTCTAATGACGTCAGTAACCCCCTGGATACTGAGATCATCTCATAGTGTGACCATAAGGAGGAGGAGACTCACATCTTTATTGTGGAGGGCTTTCTGCTTGGACCTTTGATCGACGTGCTCAACCAAGAATGCAGGAAGAGGAGGTGCCCTAGAACCTACACGGTATCTGAACCCCTCGGCCTCTTCGACGGTCATGTCCGGCCGACGCATTTAAAACATAAGAACAACTGACTATTTGAAGACCATATTCAAAGAACCTGATTGGAGACAAATTTTAGGCAGTGGTTATATTCATTTCTTTTTTTATACATATCAGAATCATTATAGGGACAATTCAGTGGTCGCTTGATATAAAATTCGACGTCCTTCAAATCCAGTTTCTAGTGACACATAATTTGTGTCATTTCCAGGTCATAACAGCTGAACTCAAGCTTTGACAGGTCCTCACTAGGTCTTCAGATGAAGTGTTTTAATTCTTAAACTTGTGTGTATTATACCTCATTTCAGCACCAGGCGCTGTCCATAGGCTGCTGAACTGGACAAAGCAGTGAAGAAAATAGATGGTCAACATCAGAGACCCCCTGTGGCCTTTAATGGAACTGCAGGTTATTGCCAGCGTGGGGAACCATTCAATATAATTCTACATTACTAATTTACTAATTTCGGCACCTATGTGTAAAGCCCTTTGGCCTTTCATAGATGTATATGTATAAATATGACGAGGTTTTGATGACTACTTTTTTGTTATCCCTCCACATGTGGAATATTTGAAGTGGGGCTATATCCCCCTGAGACCTGAACTTTTGTTTGGTATGCATTTTTAATTTCTCCCAGCTATTTGGGCTCATTAGGACCTGATAAATATAAAAAAAACTAAACACAGTCAAAGATAAGTAAGTCCGAATGTCCTACAACAAGACAATAATAAAGTCCCAATGTCCTCAAACAAGAGAATAATAAAGTCCCAATGTCCTCAAACAATGACTTAAAATTAACAGTGTCTTAGCTTGTTAATGTTGCTAAAATTGGTCAAATTTGTTGCCATATCAAACTACAAACTTTATTAAACACAATATAAACAAATTTCAATCATAAAATTATCTCTTCATTTTCAGGGAAGTTGAGTCACCATAATGTGTTAAGCATTATGGTCATACAGTAGCCTCAGTAAGTAAGTAGTGTACAGAGAGCACAGATGCAGTAAACGTCAGGAGGCAAAATATGTGTTTTGTTGTTTGTTGTTTATCCCTAAATAAGTTTTATTGTCTTAGAAATATAATACATGAATCACAGCTATATTGCTCAAAACAACCAACAGAAAAGTTGAGCTAATAGTTTGTAAGATAAATACAAAACCAAAGTATACAGCTAAGTTTTACTCAAGAAGAACATGAGTTCAGTCACTGGAGCTGCCCATTGGCGGTTACTGTTACCAGGTAGGGGAGGACCTTGGACAGCTCCCTGTGACTGCTGAACATGTTGTACATTTGTTATAATAATCATAGAAATCAATAATCAATAAAAAGACAAAAAATAATCAAGACAAAATAACTTTCTAATTGAACTAGGGATGCATCGATTTTGAAATTCAGGGGCAATACTGATATTAAAAATAACAATTTGGCCGATAGTGATGTTTTTATATTGGTGTTTCTTTTGTTTTTGTTGTTGTTATTTATTTTTCTTTTGTGCCAGGGAAACACCGAAATCTACAGTAAAAAAAATGAACCGTTTTAAAGTCATTCAGTCGTCCTACCTTTCAATGAGCACAAATTCACATATTTATAAAACGACCTTTAACATCTTCAAAGATACAGGCAAAAAGCCTTTTTACTATATACATCATAATTCCCTCTGTAATATCTATATTACAGTGCTGTGAAAACATCAACACGTGTCTCCTCCAAGCAGCTGGATTTATTCAAGTTTCTCACAACATTTTACAAGATGACATTAAACACATCATGAGAACGTTATAATCTATGCCCAATACCCATTTTAACTGAATGGCTTTGCTATGTAGTTCTGTTGTTGTGGCCGTATGTGATATTTACAAAAAATAATAGTAGTAATAGTATAAGTAAAAATAGTAAAAGGTAAACATTTATACATGTGAATTTCTGTTGGATAAACTTGATTTTTCGCTGTTTTTCGAGTGCTTATGCATGACAAAGTCTCTGACAGCGATTAAAGAAAATATATTTGTAGTAAGGAAAATAAACATTGTATTCAGGATGGGCTATTTTCAATTAATAATGTTTTTATCTGATTTTGTTGCGTCACTTCAAAGGTCCATGTTGGATCAGAGTTTGAGACATTTTAATGAGCCACTTGGATGAAAGTAGACATATAGACCTGTCGTGAAATAGCTCTTGAAAATGAGCAGTTCAGGTTGTCAAGCGTTGAATAGATGTATTACAACAGCCGTGGAAGTGCAATTAAATAAAACAGTAAACTACAACTTTAGCCACACTGAAGTGTTTGCAGTGCTGCACTGTGTCCGTATTAGCTGCACACTTCTTCTCTGAGCGAATCCACCCTTCGGCCCTCCTTCAGACAAGCAAATGTCACTGCAGCTTCACCGCGAATGACCTTAGTGTTCATGTTTATATCAAACGATAACCTAATCCTTCAGTATTAATTAATTGCAGAGCAGATTTCAAATCAATACGCCTGGGCTGACATATAACAACTTAACATCGTCTACATTAAACTTTGCAACCATGGTTGTTCTCCAAATTACACCATTTTGATTTAGATTAATTCTACTTTTGATTTATTAAAGCATATTTTGGTGATGTCCTGTACTATATTACCTTTTTTTTCGGGAAAGGTGAAAATGTGCTGAACAAACAGCTCAAAAATCCAGGTCATTAAAAAAAGGAATTAAATTTATCTAATGAGAACACAAAAGAAATGCGGGATGTGGTGCCAATTGAAACCACTTTTATGTCTCGTAAACTCTTTAGTAGTTACAAATCTGTAACAGGTATTAAACTCGCACACAGGAGCTACATTTGCATATGAATTATAGTTTTCAATTTGTAGTCTCCCTGCCTGCTTCAGTATCACTTAGGCCTATAGACTATAGTTTCAATTCAGTGGCTCACTTGGAAATTGTTCCGCATTTTTAAAAGCATGCACGCTGACTTAATTAAATCATTTGGTTTCACAAGTGAAGACATTGTGAAAATTGTTTATTAAATGACGTTTGGTTTTATCGGGTATTTCCCAGTAGTCTCCGGGGCCTCATGAGAAGTTAAGCCTATATGCTATCACATGCACGCTACAGCAACATTTTGGAATTGGTCCAAATGCTATGCGGCCTACCTCGGAAGTGGTCAGGGTGTGCCCATGCTCTGTTTCTTATATAAAAACCTCAAGGCTGACCAAATAATCTACAGACAAGATGAGTCTCAGTGCAAAGGACAAGGACGTGGTCAGAGCCTTCTGGGCTACAGTGAGTGGCAGCTCGGAAAGCATCGGCGCCGAAGCTGTATGCAGGTAAATATGACTCTGAACCGGCTGATAAAACCTGCTCCGAAAATTAATTCATTTTTTGATGCTTTTTTTAAATTTTATTTTACCCAGGATGCTGACGGTGTACCCGCAGACCAAGACTTACTTTTCTCACTGGAAGGACCTGAGCCCGACCTCTGCCTCTGCCAGGAATCACGGAATTATTGTGATGAATGGGATTGGAGATGCTGTGACCAAAATCGACAACCTGGTTGGGGGTTTTCTGACCCTCAGTGAGCTGCATGCCTTCACTCTGCGAGTGGACCCTGCCAACTTCAAGGTAGATGTACCTGATTATGAATCCGTAAAAGTCAGTGACGCACACAGTACATGTTTGATTTTCTTTGGCCTTTTCTTCAAGATCTAATTTAAAAAAACGCTTTGTAGCATGTCTTCAAAACCCATAGGTCTTGATCATTATGTACATCGTGGGTTCAGTTCCAATGTCCTTTTTCCACAGCTCCTCGCCCACTGCATCCTTGTGGCCATGGCCTTGGCGTACCCCGACGAATTCACCCCTGAGGTCCATGTGTCCATGGACAAGTTCCTGGCTGCCGTGGCCCGTGCCCTGTCTGAGAAATACCGATAAACGGCATGCAGAAGCAGAGGGCTTGCACTGCAGCACTGGTTTAGATGCTTTTATCAGTCTGAATGTGAATAAAAGATAAAATGCAATCAAACTCTGTGTGTGTCGGTGGTGGAGTGAATTTTCTCTGTTAAAGGTGGTTAAAAAGGTTTCAAGTCATGTCAACGGCACGCATGGCATCCACTAAGTATATCAAGTAGTAAGGCATGTTGGGGATATCTCAGCAATATTAACCCATATATGACATTATATACAAAAGAAAAAATAAAGAATAAAGGGTGCTTTTTAAAGCTGTTTATGAAGCAATGTTTAAAACATATTTGAATTTATCAGACTTAATACAAAAGTATGAGTAAATTTACACACATAAAACCAAAGAACACCATCTCTATTAGCACCACTACTCCCATTACAACACCAAATAGACTATATTACACCAACGAGTAATATACCAGCCTACATGTACTGCTCAGTGGTATTTAGATCCTTCAGACAGAGTTGCAAGCTGCAATATAAGTGAGATGATTATAAAAGCGATGCATTCAAAGCTTTTAATATCAACATCTCAGATACTCATTATGCAGAATGGTCTCTTTTTAAATGCTGTATTATTATTATTATTGTTATTATTATTATTATTATTATTATTACAACATTAACAATAATTAAAAAAATAAAAAATATATTTAATTACTGGTGTATAAAAATGCGTCATACTTTGTGAACTCATCTTGTCTATTTTTGTGTGCGTATACATACACACAGAAGTACAGCGCTTAAGGTGTTTGTGCTTTACGTGATCATTTTATCCTCTATACCCCACTGCAATCCAGAGAGAGATGCTATAATAATGTAATGTAATAACGACACATATGAGTTATTATATAATAATTACAGTAGGACATCGCAATGTAACACTTTCAAAGTGGGCATTCAGTATGATGTATGTACTTTTAATACCTAACTGCATGATGCTGATAATTGTCACTCAAGCAAGATTTTTACTTTATATTTTGCCATTATGTCATAGCATCCTTGAATGGAATTACATCCCCCACCTCCTCCTCACATGCATGAATGAATATTATGATTCATCCATTAACACAGACGGACTCAAACTGCTGAGTATGCGTATTCTTTTATTTATTCATCCTCTGAGACATGACAAAAAAAATGATTTTTTTTTTGTGATCAGCGTGTGATGGTCTTCTGCTGCAGCTCTCTAGTGGTACTGCCTTCCCAGGGCGGACACCACCACGGACATGAACTTCTGGATAGTGGCCTGGATTTCAGCAGTGAAGTTTTTGCCCATCCGAGCAGCGAGCACAATGGCCAGGCAGTCGGAGAGGAGCTGCAACACAACAAGCATCAGAGCACATCAGCAACATTTTTTTAATAATGGGTCATAACAAAAATTACATTAGCTGCACCACTTTACCCTGAAATTGTCGGGATCCACGTGCAGTTTCTCGGAGTGCAGCGTGCTCAGCTCGGTATAGGCCGCCTTGATGTTGTCCATGTTCTTCATAGCCCGGTCCAGACCGTGGAGGATAGTTGTTCCGTGTTTTGCAACCTCATTATTTCCCATGATTGCGGCTGCGTTGTAGAGGTTTCCAAATTTGCCGAAATACCTCTGAGTCCAGGGGTAGACGATCAGACACCTGAGGAAACATGCAAAAACATGCATTATGTATTCGCAAAAAAGGGAAAGGGATACACATAAATGCACAAATGACTTCCCTTGCGCGTCAATTCCATGTTCAGGAAAACAGAAAGATGTCTCACCTGCAAAGAGTTGCTTGGCCAACGGCCTCATAGTCCATCTTACTGAAGATGTCTTGGATGGTGGCACGCTCTTTTTCTGTCCATTCGACCATTTTGCCGGCTCTAGGTTTGTTCAACTAGTCCTGTGTTGGTCAGTTCAAGATGCAACTTATAAAAGAACCGTTTCACCCCTCCCCAAGATATGCGATTGGAATCCAATTCAATCATTGGATGAAGTAGGGAGGTGGGCCGGCCATGCATTACGGATTTGCAAAACTGATAAGGACAGGGGTAATCTGCTCTGCTTAGATTATGTCCGAAACTGAGGAAATAGATATCGCTGTATGTGTCCTGCAAGTAGCCTACTTTAATCAGCATGTCTATCATGATCAGAAATAAAGGGTATGGCTGTAAAACGAATTACTATTTGAGGATGCCGTCCGATTTGATTCCATAATTATTTTCTTATGAAACTGACCAGTTTTACATTTAAAATTCTTTGAGTATACTTTGCTTTTACTCTCAATATTGTAATTAATCTCTACAATATTAGCTACAGAAGTGCTTCTCAACCGGGGGCGCTTGAGGGAACTCCAGGGGGTCCCAAAAAGTGGGGACTTTTTATTTTCACTATTTAAGTGAGCCCGACGTGAGTGAAAGTGACATGTTATCAAATGTGTTTCATTTTAGGGACCCTTGACACAAACAGGTTGAGAAGCAATGGTCTACAGTATTAGCTATGACATCATAGCAGCTTTATATTTGACAACACCCGCCATCAGTACAACTTATATTATACAGTACAATCTAAACGATGCATCTCAATAGCAGTGTCCACACGAGACAGTAATAAATCCAGTAGAGGGCGCTTCTATCCACCAGGAACATCTGACCACTGCATGTCTGGACATGATGCCACCATCAGCTCATGATGACCACAGTGTAGTCCGTCTCACTTCGTTGAAACACCAGCAGTCAATGTAAGATCATCATCAAGGTTTGCATAATCACAACTGACAATCGCCCTTCTTGAAGCTCAGTCTAGCCTGTGCAGCCATCAGATCTACAGCATGTACCCTCCACTACACCACTGCCGTTGAGTCAAAATGGCCCCAAATATGTGCTGAAAACTGCATTTGATTCATAGATCTCTCAATCAAAGTTACAATGTGGAGTCATAGGCCACTCGATGTGCATTATTCGGCAAAACTACCCGTCGAGATTTGCATCCACCTGTTGTTTCAGCAAGATCAATGTCGGATGTATGAAATTCACACCGTCCAGTTAAAACAGCACAAAATACCAGCTGGTAACAGTGTTTGATGCTCAAACGGAACCTGAGAAGTGGATGCATTATTCTGCAAAACTGATATTGTACCTGCAGAAATTTGCATCCACTTCCTTTCAAAGACAGCAGTACCTTGGAAAGCTCCCTCACCACCGACACACATAATTAGGACCTTGGCAACCCTATGTATTAATCACTTAGAAAATATTGAATATCATCGCTACGTCATTTGCAAGTGACGACTTAATGAGTCTCTGCATGACTTCCTGCACAGATAGGTTTGATGAATAACCATAGAGCCTATAGTGTAAGGCGCGTGCAGGCACACAGTGAGACATTGTAAGGACATACTATGATAAATTCAAGGTGTGTCACCATTTAGATCAATGGTATATTAAATTATTAGCCATCTCTAGTCTGAACATGCAAGAGTGCCCATGCTATTGACATTTAAAATGGTGCATATGAGTATGAAATTAATGACTCTTGGGATTCTTGCCTTATTACAGTAAGTAATGTAGATACAATAGGATAGATAATCTGGAGTATTTATTTCTGGAATAAGACAAGGTCAGATATCCTCAGGGTCCTAGAAGGTTCATATGTCACAAGCATGTCAGAGATATAGTTGGGTGCTGAGCCACAGCGTGATCATGACACAAGCAGCAAGATTTTGAAATCAATTCTCTGAGTGACAGGTAACCAGTGTAAGGATTTTAGAACTGGAGTAATATGGTCCTATTTCCTAGTTTTTGTGAGGAACCTAGCAGCAGCATTTTGACTGAGCTGGAGTTGCCTAACAGCTTGTTTTTTGAAAGCCCTACAAACAGGAATAAAACAGCTTTCCCAAGGCCTACATGCCTAAAGCATATCTAAAGCAGTATGTGGTATACCAAGGCCTCCACAATCAGCCAAATGTACCATCTAGTGGACATGATGTAACATGGAAAATGTTTATCAGATAGGGTTGATCATGATTATCTTTTAGATCTTTTGAATTGTTGCAGATCTGTCGGCTGCACATCCATGATGCGAACCTCCCGTTCCACTGCATCCCAAAGGTGCTCTATGTGGAGGCCATTGGAGTACAGTGAACTCACTGTCATGCTCAAGAAACCAGATTGAGATGATTTGAGCTTTGTGGCATGGTGCGTTATCCTGCTGGAAGTAGCCATCAGAAGATGGGTACACTGTGGTCATAAAGGGATGGACACGGTCAGCAACAATACTCAGGTAGGCTGAGGTGTTTAAACCAACTCAGTTGGTACTAAGGGGCCCAAAGTGCGCCAAGAAAATATCCCCCACACCATTACACCACCACCACCAGCCTGGACCGTTGATACAAGGCAGGATGGATCCATGCTTTCATGTCGTTTATACCAAATTCCCTACCATACCCTACCCTATACCCTACCATCTGAATGTTGCAGCAGAAATCCAGACTCATCAGACCAGGCAACGTTTGTCTAATCTTCTACTGTTCGAGTTTGGTGAGCCCGTATGAATTGTAGCCTCAGTTTCCTGTTGTTAGCTGACAGGAGTGGCATCTGTTGTGGTCTTCTGCTGCTGTAGCCCATCTGCTTCAAGGTTGGACGTGTCGTCCATTCAGAGATGGTCTTCTGCAGACCTTAGTTGTAGGCTAATGAGTGGCTATTTGAGTTACTGTTGCCTCTCTATCACCTTGAACCAGTATGGCCATTCTCAATAAGGCATTTTGGCACAGAGACCTGCTGCTCACTGGATATTTTCTCTTTTTCAGACCATCCTCTGTAAACCCTAGAGATGGTTGTGCGTGAAAATCACAGCAGATCAGCAGTTTCGGAAATACTCAGACCAGCCCGTCTGGCCCCAACAACCATGCCACGTTTAAAGTCACTTAAATCATTTTTCTTCCCCATTCTGATGCTCAGGTTGAGCTTCAGCAGGTCGTCTTGACCATGTCTGTTTACAGTTATGCATTGAGTTGCTGCCAAGTGTTTGACTGAATAGCTATTTGTGTCAACTTTTTATCACTCAGTAAAAAAGTATTTTACTTTCCACCG